TGATTATGAGTGCAGAAGTGTATCAAGAGCGAAGCCGTGGCGAATGAACGAGTAAACAGGTAAGTTCAAATCGGTAAATACGAGGTAATACGAGGTAACTCATGAATCTAATATTAATTATTTTTTTGTCCACGGCACATCGTATTCCAATAATAATTATCATAATTAGTGGTGGAGAGGCGGGTCCGCGAATCTAGCGCCATCTTTATATATACTCCCATTAGATATACTGGATAATGGCATATCCTCCAATGTTTTTTAAAAATAATCATTGTCGTATTATATCTTACAAACTTCCCAAATCTGTAAAAAATGAGCTCATTGTATTGATTTTAACAATGAATCGTGAATGGTATTTATGTAATTGTTTTTTAGTTTAGGAGTTCCTTTATTTTTTACGCAAGTGCTTCCGTATTAATCAAGGGCGTAGCTTTGAGAATCCTAGTAGCCGAAGGAAAACATTTCGTGGACGGTCCGCTAAGTAAATCCGCGTATCAATACTCTTTTTTACGATTCAAAGAATAAACAAGCCATGCGGGGTAACATGTTCCAAATTTTTTATAAGAAGCGATCCGAACTGTTTCTATTTATTTCATTCTTGACTTCGTAATGCGTTTAGCCAGCAGATTGGTACAATTATTGGTCCCGCGTTCGCCGACCTTTACTTCATCCGTTGCTTGCAACGCCTCCCCCTCTTCCGTCCTCTCTCTTCGTTTCTCGGCCTTCACCTCCTCTAACTCTTCTTCCTCCGTCCTCCTTTACTCAACTCCGCTTTTCTGCCCCCTCATACTCTTCTCATTCCTTCCACCTCCCTCCCCTTTAAATCTTCCTCCTCCCTCCTCCTTCATCCTTTCCACCTCTCTCCTCCTTTCATCCTTCCAAACCTCCTCTTTCCTTCATCCTTTCTAACCTCCCTCCTCCTTCCATCCTTCCACCTCCCTCCTCCTTCATCCTTCTACCCTCGCCCTTCCTCGTTCATCCTTCCACCTCCGTTCATTTCTTTTTTTATCCTTCCACCTCCGCTCTCTAACTGCTTCCCATGCCTTTCCACCTCTCTCCTCCCTTCAAATCCTTCTACCCCCTCACTCCTCATCCTTCCACCTCCCTCCTCCTTCATCTTTCTATCTCCCTCCTGCCTTCCATCCTTCCACCCTTCCTGCCTTCTCATCCTTTCACCTTCCTCCTCCTTTCACTCTTCTACCTCCCTCCGCTTCAATCCTTTCTCCTCCCTCCTCCTTCATCCTTCACCTCTCTCCACCTTCCATCTTTCCCTCCCCCTCCTCCTTCATCCTTTCCACCTCCCGTCCTCCTTCATCCTTCCCACCCTCCTCCTCACTTTCCATCCTTCCACTCCCTCCACCTTCATCTTTCCCTCCTCACTCCTCTTCATCTTTCCACTCCCTCCTCCTTTATCCTGTCCATCCTCCCTCTTCCTTCATCCTTCCACCTCCCTCGTTTCCTTTTATCCTTCTACCTTCCCTCCCTCCCTTCATTTTTTCACTCCCTCCTCCTCCATGCCTTTCCCCTCCTCCGCCTTTCATCCCTTCCTCTTCCCCCTCTTTCAGGCCTTCACTCCTCCAACCCTTCCATCTTTTCTCACTCCTCTTCGCTTCATCCTTCCCCACCTCCCCCTACGACCTTATCTTTCCTCCTCCCTTCCTCCTTTATCCTTCCCACCTCCCTTTTCACCTTATCCTTCCTACCTCCCCTCCTTCTTCTCTTCCACCTCCCTTCCTCATTTCTTCTCTCCTTGCTTCATAAGATTCCCTCCGCCACTACAACTAGCTCTCTACCTGTCTCACTCCGTCATTCTTTTTCTCCCGTCCGCGTTTTGCCCTCAAAAGGCTCAACATCCCTAATTTCTCTCCTAAGCTGGCTAACCAAACCAAACCCACGCAAACCACACATCCTGGCTCGCTCACAAACCTCCCAAAACACCATTCCGGCAAAAACAAGTGCACAGCTTATGATGTCATGTCCGCTGCACGCTTCGTGCATGGCGACGAATAGTAAACAAATACAAGCTGTTCGACCGAGCAGTAAAGAAAATACAAACAGTCTGAACGAAAGCAGTTTGGCCTACACAAAACACACTCTTTTTCCGGGCGCCGCGACCTGAGATCGACAAGCGCGCCCCCCTCGCGGCAGCCGACCCGCAACCGGGTTATTTTAATTAAGGTTGGCGGTTTTAGACTCGTTAAATTTAAAGCTTACATGGCAGGAGGAAATGTCGCGCTGCGGCCTGACACGGTTCAGACCCGGTGTTCTGTTCTTATTATCAGCTACCGAACCGCGCAAACACTCCCCCCGCCTTTCTCAGCACGAAAACCTCTTCCCCTCCCCTCTTTCCTTATCTACTAAACATTGTCGCACTTCTGTCTCTTTTCAATCCCATCATTTTTCTCCATACTCCCAAATTCTTCATGCTTTATTTCCCAAATACTCCCAGAAACCATTTCTCTAATCCCAATTTTCCGCCATTTCCCCCGCCTCGTACTCACAAGAGTAACTCGGGCTACTGACTGCATGCCCATCGCTTTTCCCGCTGGCTTATGGTATTGTCAATATCCAATAATCTCCATTAATGGACCTCTTGATATTATTTTATGCCCTACTTAACATGACGGACCCCTCCGTTTTGAATTGAAAGGGTTACAATTCACCTTCTGCCCGACTACATCGCCCGATCACGTGTTAAATGGCCCACGCTTATCTGGCGCGAGTGGCCCGTTATCGGAAGATGAATTCCCGTCTGGGGTCGCCAATAACCGCCCTCTACGTATCTCTCTAGGCCTGCAACAGGCGCAGCGTAGGCGTGGCGACTGATAAACGGAGTGGCGCTCTGATCACTCTTTCTACTCATTCCGTGTGTGTCCTGTCCGTGTGTGGTATGTTGCCGTCGCCGTCCGTGGTCTCTCGTATTCGCCCAGAGTCCTGCCTCTCACCGACGCAAGCGACATATACAAATATTACCACACATAAACACAACGCCGTACACAATACGCGCCGGAGCGCACTGCACCACTATATCTAGATATATACACGGAAAGAGGAATAATATAATATTATTATTTTAGAGAGAGAGAGAGAGAAGAGAGAGAGAGAGAGAAAGAGAGAGTGAGAGGAGAAAGAAAAACGCTTTACTCAAAGAAATCGAAGAAAGAAAAAGAGAAAGAGAGAGAAGAGACACCACGAAGAGAGGACAAATGGCGACGATAGAAAGTCGAAAGTGATCGCGAAGGCAGTGGTGTGAAAACGCGAGGCGCACACAAGAAAGAGCAGGCGAGAAAATAGAGAAGAGAGAAGAAAGAGAGGGACATCCCCACTGATAAGCCGTGTGTGCCCGCTCCACAGTAAATCCTTCTAAACAGCTTAAACAGGTAAGCCCATCTAAACTAAATTACTTCGACTGTGTCTCTAACTCTAAGTAATTACACTGAACTCTCACGGAAGCCTTAGTACTTCCATATAACCTCACGCCATAGTATAGACTATCTAGTAGTAATTAACAACGCAAAGTTTAATGCGTAACATTAGTAAGAGTTTATAACTATTGAGCTAAAGGTTTTTTACTACGTAAGCAACTACAGATTATCTATATAAGATAGAATGTAGTCCCTATACATTTAAACTAGTTTAACTGACGCTGACAAGTGTGGAACTATGAAATGGCGGCGAGGAAAGTCGCAAGGCTCTTTTCCAACGGTGGGTAGCACACACAAACACACCACTACCAGAGTACTCTGGCAATTTCAATGACTAATTACTCTGACTAACACTAAATTACTATATTAACCGTCTAACTAATATCTTGTCTAACTGTGCCGTAAATAGTTGCTGGCAACTCGTTAATAAGGGTCTTCTTCGCTGACTTCTATTTTAAGCATGAGATGGTTCCTGGTGATATATATTCATATATATTATATATATATATATATATATATATATTATATAGGGCCCTATATATATATTATACAGAAATATATATATATCAGTGGGATCATATATACCTGTTGTTTAAATAGTAATTTCAAAAACTTCAAACAGACGCAACTCAAGTACTTTCATCTCTCATATAAGTGTAGAAATTACCGTTCATTTATGCGTTTTATATTTACGGACACGGAATTTTATTATCAATCTAATTTTTACGCGCCTTATAGCAGGAACACTGGCAACGTTTTTGTAAGCATGGATATTTGGCCATTTCCTTGGGGTGTGGTAATTAATATTATATATATATATATATATATATATTATATATTATATAATAATTATATATATATTATAGCCTTACTGCCACTAGTCACATCCACAGGACATTGATTAGTTTCGCACTGTGAGGCGTTAACGCGCCTTTTATTCTCACAACGCTTTGCGTTTTAACATACACACAGTGAATGGTATAAATTATACGCATAGAAAAAACTGTACTTGGGCGCTCCTGGCTGTTGTTACCTACAATGTTGCTTTTCTCCATTCCCCCACGTAGTGCAAAGACTACGAGTAAGAGAGCGTTGTAGTAATAGTAAGTTTATTTCGCACACTTCCAATAATGGTCTGGTCATGTTACATTACAAATAGTATAAAGTGGTGGAAGCGACCCAGCGACGGGCGTTTTGCTCTGGTTGACAGGTACACACACCCGCGCGCCACACACACACAACCACACACAGCCTCGTCCTCTCTTCCTCTCTCTCACACAACCACACCCACACACACATATATACGCGCGCACACATATACACATACACACACGCGCGCACACACACGCACGCACACGTCCGCAAATGTGTATTTGATCGTGTCAAATCATCGATCATATTATTTATTATATACGTTATCTGTTTATTTATATGAATTAATGCGTTAATCGTCATGTGATAAGATCAGGAGTAAATAATCAAAAGTTTGTGATTATTTACTCCTGATCAGATGTTATATTAGAATAGAATATAACAAGCTGAACATCTACATCGGCTTTTCCTCCTGCCTTATAGGGAGTTTTGTGGTCTGAAAAAGGCGACGTCTTTCTCTGACCTTGAGGGAGAGATAGACGACGAGAACACTCGAAACAAACTCGCCTCCGTCTACGAGTAAGTATAATAGTTATATATATATATATCAAAATTGAATTAGGTGTTCATTTTGCAAAAACTTTCGAGGGCACATCTCTCTTCGTCTGGCTTCCCAGAAGTAAAAACTGCTGTGTACAACGTTCTATTGTTGTGTATCCTGACAAAGAGACTTAGTCCTGGAGAGCTTGCAAAATAAAAAATTGACGTCATTCTATTGTTATATTTATATATTTTCATCAATGTCGGCATGGGTGTTCGTATGTTTTTAATTCTCTCTCTATATAAATATAAGTATATATAAACACACGCATTATATATATATAGCTGTAACTATGGCAACGGCAGCCGTGCATGGTGACGTACGTAGCTTCTTGCAGTATTGAAACCTCGAGTAACCGCGTCGATTTCTTTCCTCTCTCTCTCTTTGCTGACGCACGTACGCACACACACTGACACGTTAATTGTTGTAAAACTGTGTTCCCAAAATGTCAGCGTGTGACCATGCGCGACCGTTGCCCCCCCCCCTCTTACGGCTTTGTGTTCACTCCTGACCTGACCTTGCGGTCGGGTGCTCGCTCGCTGTATTCTGACCTCGGGTGAACTATGACGCAGCCACGTCGACGATATAGATCTGTTCACGGGAGGATTGAGCGAGCGGCCGCTGCCTGGCGCTCTCATCGGGCCGACGTTCGGCTGCATCATCGGCGAACAGTTCCGTAGACTGCGGCAGTGCGACCGCTACTGGTACGAGACGTCCAACCTGATCGCACGCTTCACGCTAGGTAAGTCTGTTTCCTCTACACACCTGTGCAGGTTGCGTATGACATGGTTTTACGACAGGTAAGTCTGTCTCCGCTACACACCTGTACAGGTTGCGTAT